CTAATAGCCAGATTTACCATTATATCCCGGAAATCGCCATCACTATCGAAGATGTCTAGTTCTGTAAGAGTTTTGTTGTTAAACTATAAATGCATACTATTATTAGCACATAAACTTACCAGGGAAATGAGTTGGATGAGCTCGTTTACTGGATGTAAATTACCAAGTTTTTTGTTAGTCGCGAATCGAGAATTAAGAATCTCGTAAACGTCTGGCTTTACTGATGGCATCAAATCCATGGCTAATGTGTTGTTATGTATCTCTCAATGAATACAATATTATCGTCAATAATAACAATGGGAAATTTTAATTCACAGTATATGTTAACTAAAATATTTAGCAATGAATATTCTGTAATTTATACAAACAATTGAAATTATTGTTTCAAACAAAATATATTTATATAATAAAATAATTGCTACATGAGTAGGCTATATTAATTTTTACATAGTCATTTAAACATTGCTAATGTATTTTACATTTATTCACTGGGCCTATGAATTAAAATAACTATATACTGTTATTTGATGAACAGCTAATGTAATAATAATGACCATGAAAATTGGTTTTGATTACCAAAAAATTAAATAATTCTTATATCCCATAACTTTAAAATTAATTAAGATAATTTGATTTTGTTTGTAAATTATAAGAACATGAAACGAGTACTTTGTAATACTGTATATACGTACAAGATGTATTTTAATAGATTATACAATAACATTAATCAATTATTTTAATGTCCCGTAATTTTACTTACATTTAACTTATTTACATGAGCTGTTAATATTATAAATACTATAATTATTATACTAGATAACCATTACTAGTACAATGTAGCTCATTGCCATAAATGTAAAACTACTTGGTACTTATAATTAGTACACTTGGTACATTCAATATTATAAGGCCTCTAAGTTACTTAGATTCATTTTAGGAAAACATAATTTGTATACTGACAAAACAATTTATGTTTACAAATGTTCAATTTATTTAATATAGTAATTTATAAACTCTACCGATTGTACTCACTTGTAGTTAAACTGATTTTTGTACATTTGTACAACATTATTGTTGTAGATTATTAATGTTATAGTAATAAATATGACAATTATTTAAATTCTATTGAGTTATTATAAAACTATATGAAATTATTTATTTAAATATAATTAGTATTTAATTATACCTAAATTTTATTATACCTTTACATGAATTTTATTTTTAAATAAAATAAATTGTGAATAAATTAATAATAATGTCAATTAATTTTTAATGTTTTTTATAACACATTCACAAATCATTTATTGATTGATTGAAAATACATTTGCAAAATATTTTTGCATCAATTAATACACAATAAAATTAAGGTATTGAATACTTTACAATATAAAGTTTATATTATAGTTATTGCATATTATACCAATAAATAAAATTAATCACAATTTATTAACATCAATCAAAATATAATCGCAATGAAGCATCTAGGTTATTTTTTAACAACAAAATCCCACAATTGATTATTGATTTCGATCATATCCTCACCATTGGGTGACTTTTCAGACACCGCACGGACTCTCTCTTTGTAGAGCAGCTCTCGTATGACGTGATCCATGTCTTCATCGCCGGTACTGTCCGTCAAATACCGTTTAAACCAATTTACAGAGAATTGAATAGTTTCTAATTTACAATCGTAAAGTAAACAAAAGTAAACACAGTAGTTTAATTATTATACAATTACTGACCATTGTACATTTTAGCCGGTATTATATACTTTGCTTTTAGGTATTTAATCTCAATGCGAGTGAGTCCGGCGCTATTGAATGCGGTCACCCATTGGCCGATCATTTGCTGGTCAGTCGGATACCGGAGCCGGCGCTCCAACTCAGCTCTCCTATCGGAGCCGAGGCTACGATAAATATGACCGCAATATAGTATATTCATAACTATTATACCGTTATTTGACAATAGTTTGGCCATATTGTGGGCCGCAGTGTCCGACTCGCGGACCCAATGCATGGAACAGTTGGAGAAGATTAGGGACACCTTTCCGGCCAACTTCTGAACACTTTTG